TCGAAGCATTACTATCGATTCGGATTATTAATTGCAGAAATGTTGTGTTTTTCCTCACTTAACATGCTTGCTTTATGATTGCCTAATGTAAATAATCATGCAGCGGAGACATTCCGTTGCATCACCCCCCCTCGTAGCCATTAGCCACATAAGTGACTGATTAGTGATGAAGTGACCTTCTTGAGTGGCTCTGGGACAAAATACACCTTCTTCCAGACCATCCATTCTTCTTTCTCATTTCATAGTAACAAGTCCATGCGATGTGCAGCCAAAGCTGCTGAGAACAAAGGCATGAGACCCAACTGCCACAGGAAAGGCAAGATTACCCGAAGCAGCTGACGTAAGATCGTCTGCTACTTCCAAGATTCAGTCTGCAGCACTTGCTGCTGCAGGCACAAGCAGTGATGCACCGCGTGACATCGGAAATTATGATCTCGAGCTCATATGCTTTGGTGAGTCCGACGATGAGACTGCCTCGAAAAAGGTGAAAGCTGTGGATGAGTCAGATTTCGCTAAACCGGAGACGTGAGTCGGCTCTACGAAGCGCTTGAAGCCTCGCAGAGCGTCGTAACATCTTCGAATCGTTCAACAAGTCAGACTCTTCCCTTCGAGACGTAGTCGTTCAACTAAGAGCAAAACAGCGGTGGATCTGTTCACTGATACGATCTGAACGGTGATGCAATCATGCATCAGAGTCCGCGTGGCCGAGATTATCCCGGTGTCGGTACTTCTCTTAACATGACACAAGAGAATCAGGGCCCCACGGACGGGACGGTGATGGCCTTGTCTCTCGCGATGGCCACTCATTTGATTCCTGAGCAGAAGTCACCGACTCGTTTGTTGAGTCCTCTGCTATTTATCTCCATTGCTACCTCATCGTGGCGGTGTCCATTGGCACATTTCACCTGTTTCTCGACGTGGTTTACGCTCCAGTGTATGGCCGTGCCCGGAAACCATTTTTCGACAATTTGCACTACCCTGATAACAGTCACTACATGGCGTTCAGCAATTTTAACGTGCCTATCAATCCTTCGCTCGACGAGCTTGCTTCAACCCATCCTTCCGCAGGCGTTGCCGAACTCCTTAACTGGCAACTCCGCCTCGGTGTCGGCTATGCATGGCGAGCCACCTACCTTCGGCTCCACGAAAGTACTGGCCCTCGGCGACGAATAGCATCGATTACGGGTATGCATCGACGGAGCTCCTCGAAGATTATCTGGTCGACATTCTCCACGTGACGGATAAAGTCTGGCACCATGCTGACCACCTTCCTAGGTATTTTATCCTCCAGTCCCCCTTCATCCCCAGCGCTTTCGCCTCCCATTGAAATGTCCCTTTTGGCTGTTAAAACATCCGATGGTAGCTTCAATCTTAGACGACACGTTGGATGCCATGAGTGCCCCATCTGCTACGGCATGAGGGACAACCCCGGTACTGTCTTGGGAGAGCATAAGAGTTCCGATGCCATGTTCCTCCAATCCATGTTCCACGAGGTCAAAATTCGGAAGCGGCCGAGGATCGTGCCCTCACGCAGACGTACCATGAAGATGATAATAAGAATATAGTACACTCTTCTTTCGACTCGAAGGCACGATTAATTTTGGCTAGGGATGCCTAGGCGGCTCACAAATCCTACATATCTTCCCGCTGCAAGGTGGCTAAGTTTGACCGCGACGTTAGCACTGTAGAATTGTTTCACCCTATATCTTCAACACCCCCTCCCACTCCGATGAACAGGCAGGTCTCAATCTTGAACGCTACCCAAGAGGAAAGCTCAACTAAATTCGACCCAGATGAGATGGCGGCCATCCACCGCCGCTGCTGGGGCTCATTTTACCGCAGTCATCCCAGAGATCTTCTTTTAACTCTCTCTCCGCGTCCTTCCAGCCCCTGGAGCTCATTCGCTGCTCCATCACACTTCAGCCTCCATTTCTGCTGGCGCACGCAGCCGGCTTGATACGCCTTTGACGGCACACGACTTCTAATGGTCTATCAAGACGTCACCTACCGGCCGGTCTTGCGGCCTTGAAGGCTTGCCCGTAAAAATGCTATCAACTATAGCCCCACAAATAGATCAGATTTTATGAGCTCGTCTACGCTAATCAACTTCGTCATGACTGCATGACTAAGCTCCTGCGTTGGTCACCAATAACTCTTCTATACAAAGAGGTGATCGCTGCTAACCTAGAGATTACCAGCCAGTTACGCTACTCAACCATGACGCCAAATTAGGGCCTATGATATGGGCTCATCGTCTACGTGAAGTTCATCCCCATCTCCTCCACGAGGACTTGATAGAGCTTGTGCCTGGTTGTTAGATAATCATGCTCTATTTAGGCTCCAAGACCTCCAACGGCTTTGTTCCGGGCAACGAGATACACGTGCGGGCGCAGTGCTTCTTGAAATTTGCTAAGGCATTTGAGAATATTTTCTGGCCAGTACTTGGTCTTGTGTTAGGCCATCTGGGTTTCGGCGCCATCCTTCAACAGGCCGTCAAGAAGTTCTAGGCTGGCACTCTGGTCACGATTCTCGTAAAAGGGCTGTCGGGCCTTTACTTCGAGCTTGTATGCGGGGTTCGCCAAGGCGATCCACTTCCGCCTGCTTTGTTGGTTCTCCTTTTAGAATTTTTGATGATCTACTGTCAACGCGGTCAATCACCATGCTTCCGCGGCTGGCTTTATACCCAACTCTACAAAATCAGTCATTTTTCCGTATCAGACCAAGCCAATGATCCTTAGGAGCGCCTCCAATTGCTCAGTTTCACTGTAATTCCAAATCTTGGGTCTACTATTCTTCTTGGAATCTTCCAAACCCCTGCCTTCCTGTGACGTAAAGACCGGATTCTTCCGCAGATGGTGTCACGCTGCATCCTCTGAAAAAAATCGTACGCATCATCTTCAGGGCAGAGCTCCCTTCCTTATGAGCATTGTCCTTCATTACTATGGTACACTGCAGCGGTGACTTCCGTGCCTCTTACGGTGTCCTCTCAAGTCACCAAGTAATCGAAGTCGTTTCTGTTTCAACACAGTATTTACACCGAATCTTCAGTGCTTGACTCTATAGCTTAGGAATAGACATATCGGCCGACGTCCCGAAGTGGCCGTGGCCCACCTAATGTCGTTAATATTTCTTGGATGCTTCCCCTTTTTTACTGCGAAATGCGGTACAATCGGCATCCTCCTTTATCCGGGTACCTTGGTGGTGCTTTCCAGAGGTAATTCTCTTCTCTACGGTGCTTGATCAGGCTTAAACGTATTTGACATTATCTACAGCCCGGTCCCACGCTCGATTCTATTTCCAACCTCGTAGGCGTTGTTTGGCTATTTCTGGTATGTCGTTTTGCATACATGGGCAATTCTACGTAATTCGTCTCATCGTACGACTCCACATGACTCGTTTCTGCTGGATGCATCACTCTGGTTGAATTATCGCTACCGCATCGGGAGAGTGCGTCGGATCATTGAAGGCTCGTCTTTGCTAGTTTGACACTTCTGAGACCTAGGGTTTGTTCGCCCGCGTAATTTCCTTTCCGTCATGGTCGACCCCCTGATCTTCATCCGTGCCTCTTCAATTTTTCTTCTGTTGACTTTGGGGGTCTCCGGTAACGGATGCTTGATTGCTCTCATTTTCGTTCGAAGCTCAGGTGTTGGAGCCTCGATCGTCTACCTGCCTCTTTTTCTCGCCCTTCCTAGAATCCGTGCACCCCAAATTTACGACGCAACGGTCAACAACTACCAGGTAGGTTAGCTTTTACCAGCATTTGTGTATCGCTTATCTGTTTAAGGGTCCCGACCCTATTGCATCAGTCTAGCTCTGTGTTCGCGGACCTACCGGCTATGTTGAAGCCTTCACAACGTATGGTGGGGTAATTACGCGGTACTTACACTCCGTATTTTCTTCACAGCGTTCCCCATGTTTCTCGAAAACCTTGTGATCTTCATTAATTTCTTATTTGGGATTTTACCGTGGTGGCCCCATTCGGCCCTCCCCCACTGGTCCAACTCCGTCCAGACTCACGCGGACCTATTTGTATGGATTACCTACACATGGCTACCATGCGCTTCTCCAGGTTTCCGTGCCTCGTGCTTGATTTCGATCAACTGCATCGCGGCGGAAATCTAGTCCTTATGGTGGGCACTGGTTATAAAATACAACCACAACGGATCCCCAGTGCGTCCGGTGTATTTTGCGGACAATTCCTCGCCTGTTTTATGGCCCTTTGAGACAGCGATACGAACACCCTTTGGAGCCCTCGAACCTCAACAGACACCTTGTGTGGTTTGCAGGCATGTGCAACGAAACCGGCTTTCAAGCCCTCGTTCTCGGCGCTCACATGCGTCTGCCGTCCACCTGAGTCTCGCGAATTCAACTTGATGGTGTATGCGGCTTCAGGCCGCGCAAAGAGTTCGTGGCTCTCCTAAAATTGACACACCACAGATCCTGGGGGACGGGTCTAGCTGCGAAACTCCTATCCCTTGACGCATGACCCTAAGCTGCAGATGGCCGGTCCGGAACCGATTTCGACACATTGTGCCCCCACGGAACACTTGTCTATCGCACATACTTGAGCTTCCACGGCGTTCGCGCATTCGGTTAGCTTGCAGATCCGACGCATCCAAAATTCTTCTCTCGGACCCCTCTTTGATGATCGATGTTTGTCAGAGTTCAGAACTTTCCTCAAGTGCACCACGTTCGTGGTACAGCACTTTCTTTAATTCCACCACGTCCATGGGCCACGAAACCGGCTTTCCTTGGGGCACGCTGTCGATCAGCTAGTCAATGGTACCTGGAATCGCTCCTTTGTCCTCTTCAGCGGCTTGGGTCAGGTCAATGACTCCCCCGTTTATTCCTCATCTTCCTTACCCACTTCGCTTTAACCGAAGCCGTCTTCGGGATTGGCTTCATTCCTCTCTCCGACTTCTTGGAGGCCGGCGATGTCCGCTAAGGAGCGTTTCCCTGTGACTGCAGCAATGACGCAACAGCCGCTTATTTTGAATTCTTCATGGAATGCCTTTTCTGCTCTTTCTCTGGATACCGAGGCGGTTCTTGGCTTTCTTCGCCCGCTTCTTGTGGATGGATCTCTTCTCAAAATAGCAGCTGTCCGGGCACCCCTCACGGTCTCGTACCAACCGCCCGTAATTTTGGCGCCATTTCCACAGCAGGCGCGAGCGTGCATGCACGGCTGCACTGAACTCCACGCAGCTCGCTAAGGCCACCCGAACTGGCATTGCCGGCACATTGTCATCCAGAGGTGAACAGGACTCTGAGATGTAATTCTCGTCCATCGAGTTTTTGGTCGGCTGCCGGTCAGCTCACGTTTTGGTGCCCTTCGCTATCACGAATGGTCAGTTGTCGTTTGCTCGACCTTGCTTTTTTCTAAGTTTTCTTAATGGTCGACCTAACTCTACCTTGTCTTTTCCTAAATTAGACGTTTTCCTAATTTAGCTAAGCTAGTGTAATGTTTTTTTCTACCAGGCAAGAAAATGTGGATCATAACATCTTTAGCGTTGCTTTTTAGAATAAGACGTGGCTACGTCCTCAAAGAGATTTGTATTGTCTGTTGGACACGACGAGTAATCGTTATTGAGTTAAATTGGATTCATCAAGGCTTAATAAGCTTGATCCTAGTGTGACTAACTTTCGCATTGAACATAATCATCGATTGTAACGGGGCACCCTGAAGCTTGTACTGGTGACAGTACAAGCTACTTGTTCTGATGACAGAATAAGGCGGTGCCTCGTAACTTCACGCACACTGGTACGTGCAGAGGAAGACGGTAAGAAGAAGCGAGTACTTGGTTAGAGTAAAAGTAGAACTGGATTTATAATAGTTAATGTCTGCAATAAATCACTATTTATCTTCATCTAACTATGTCTAAATACAAATGTGTAAATCAATTATCTGCTCACCACTCATTGCGTGCGTCTGTCGTGGCGCGTCTTCGTTATTTGATATAATGGCCTATATCAACCAATTAGGAACTACTCGTAAGTGCTACAGAATATTTGTCCTTATGACAATTTTCTGAGAATATAACTCTTATAGTTATATTCTAGTAACAATTTCTTATAAATTGTTACGTAAAGATTCACCCCGTTGCATACCCCCCTTAACTATCAGTCACTTTAGTGACTGATTGACTAAATGGATACTCGTCCCAAATCATTTGGGACAGGGTTTGCACTTGTTGGTCCGAGTCCACATTCCAACAGATCATCGCATGGTTAACAAGCCCGTGCGATGCGCGAGTAAGGCCGCCAAGAGCGCGTCCGCACGTCTCTGTGCGGATGCCGAAGCAGAAACCACAGCAACTGATGTTTCATCGGTTGCTGAAGCGACCCAGCCTGTGTCACTTGGTGATGCAGGCGCTGGTCATGAAGACACTCGTGTCTTCACAGAGTATGATCTCGGTGTCTCGTACTCTCCTGATACGGAAGACGGATCCGTACCGACGGCGATTGAATCTAAGCCGCCTGCCAAGCGTGGCATGGACGATGCTTTGCGTCGCAGCATCTTTGGTTCATCTGACGAATCAGATGAACCATCGCCGAAGCGAAGGCGCTCGAGGTCGCGAGACTCGGGCGCTAATAGTGGTGTCGGTTCTCCTATGGACACCACTTCGCAACGAGGTGCCAGTACTTCTGTCGGCACGTCGCAAGAAGAGCGGGACCGCAATGTGTTGCGTCTCGCTCCTGAGAAGAAGGCATGGATGCCTCCAAAATCCGTCATGGATCACTTGTCGGCGACGACGAGTGATCGTTATCGAACACGATTGTTCGATTCGCCAAGGATCCATCACCTTGACCCCAGCGCGAAAAACTATCGCGCTGAACATGAGTTCTTCATCGATGCTTTCTTTAGGCATCGATGGTACAGTGGGAATCACAAACGTGATGGTCCCTCACTACTTCTGGCGTGGAACGCCTACATCCATAACCTTGAGGATGTAGGTCGTGACGCTTGGAACGACAAACAACTCAAGGCTCGTGATAAGTTTGAAGAGCGAACCCCGACAGGTGCACGCTACAAGCTGCATCGGCTGTCAAGGGAGAAAGGATTACCCTGCCTCTCGTGGGGAGACTCGTGCCCATGTTTTGTGAACAACTCTGCACGAGCACCTAAGGAGGCTTACCTCCTTACCAGCCCGTGGTGGCGCGTACGTATCTCTACTGAGATGTACGAAGGGATTGACAACCTGAAATCCCTTTACGACCGTGCCGGGAAGACTTTCTCCGGCGGTCCTTCTTCGGCACAGGATGTGCCGCGTCGTACTGCTCAACCAGACCCAGTACGTCAACCATCAATTGGGAGCGGGGCTCCCAAGAATCCCAGGACGGGGGATAGCCGCGCCACCGGACGAGATAATCGTCCGACGTCCGTTCACGTCGCGGTGGTTCAACAGCTGCTCAACTAGATAGCGCTGGCCACCGCGAGAGTCCTCTAATGGAGGTGGAGGAGGAGGAAAGACGCTCTCCACACGATCATGGGGATCCGTGTGTTCCCGAGAGCTTCTTTGATCGCGTAACGCAAGGGTTACGCAACGATCTCGAACATGAGCAGGACAGGCGTCTCCAAATGGCGGAAACTGTCTTGAAGCATCGAGCTGAGTTTGCCTTTGCTCAGCTTGAGAACGAGAGATCTCTGACATCTCTTCGTGACGAGCTAAGGGTAGCTCGTGGGATTGCTGATCGGTCTCGGGATGAGATAGCTGCTCTTCAGACCCTTGTTGATGCCCACCATCGGGAGCACAAGGCTCTCTGCGAGATGCTTGAGCGCAAGGGCGTTCTTCATCGGAAGAAGCAGCGAACTGATGGTACGGCTTCAGCAGACCAACGTAAAACGTGGGATGCGTTCGCATCTTACGTGGCAACTCGATCGTGTATGCATTGCCTAGGCGGTGCAATACACGAAATGGGCCGATGTACTTGGGTAGTAGTTTACTGCTATCCAAGTTAGTCACAGTCATACATCCTTTGGTAGATTAACCGTAGACAGTAGTACTAAGTCACCTTTACTAAATAAAAGAGTGTTTGCCCTTCCATTCTTGTCAGCGTTTTGCTTTTGCTTATCCACCGCTCCGGCGATGGAGTCTTGCACAAAACGGACTACCGTTTAACGAGCCAGTATGAACTCATCTGATGACTCGTTAGCTACAGTGCGCTGTGAGCGCACTGCAGCAACATCAACCTTTTCTTCAGTGAGGGCTTCCGCGCTCTCACTGGCATCATCTTCTTCGATATCGATGTTATCGATATCGGCATCAAACGCAATGACCTCTTCGTCAGAGCGTGATGAGCGTGAACCAAATCGGTTTTTGCTCGCGCGAGTCCCCCCCCCCTTAAACCAGAGTTACACTCTAGTAAGGTGGGTACACGCGGATGGCGTAAGCCATTCACTTAAAACGGTGTATGGGTCGTGGACGCATGCACCGAGTTGTTGATGGCAAACTCTACCATTGGCAAAAACTCACTCCAACTCTTAAAGGAGTGTACGTATCCTCGAAGTATCTCTTCAAGGACACGATTGGCACGTTCCGTCTGACCATCTGACTCTGGATGATCAGATGTTGACATCTTCAAGCGCGTTCCGAGTGATTTGAACACGGAACGCCAGAAATCAGCAGTGAATCGTGGATCTCTGTCTGATACGAGTTCACGGGGCAACCCATGAAGTCGGAAGATGGTGTCAATAAAGACACAAGCACAGCCACTTGCCGTGATTGTCTCTGGTACAGCCACAAGGTGTACCATTTTGCTGAATCTGTCAACAAATACGAGAATACCCGTATTCCCGCGTGCGTCGTTGGGTATCCCGAAGACGAAATCCATGGAGATGGATTCCCAGCACTCAGCCGGAACCGGTAGAGGCTGCAAAGGTGCACGCAGTGAAGGACTTGACTTCACTCGTTGGCAGACTTCGCATGCGCAGACATACTTTCGCACAAACTGATACTGGCGGGGCCAGTAAAAGTCTCGACTCACCGTGATATATGTTTTCTCCCGGCCACGATGTCCTCCTATAGGAGCATCGTGATACTAGAACATGATCCGCAAGCGCAGATCAGTATGATCTGGAATGAGAACACGTGGTGTGTCACCAGAAACGGATGTGTAATACAGTAAACCGTCGCGAGTAGTGCATCGATCTGATGCAGATCGATACGCAGACGACAATCGTTTCAACGATTCTCGAGATGGTTGGGAGAGATGTGTCATCAACTTCACAATCTCACCATCTTGGGATTATGCTCGCCTCACATCATCATACAACGTTGAAGATGGGACTGAGGACGTCATAACCGCAACAGTGACTGTCTCACTGTTGGGTTTCGCGACTGTTTCAAAGTCGGGACGACGTGAGAGTGCATCAGCGACGACATTAAGTCGTCCTGGTTTGTACTCGACCGTAAAGTTGTATTCCGCAAAGAATGACAACCACCGCGCCATTCGTTGTGAAAGGTGCGGGCTGTTTACTGCCGTGCGTAATGACGCATGGTCAGTGTAAACAACGAAGGGTCTATCTCCTAATAGATCGACTCTGAACTTTGCGAGCGCATAATTCATGGCAAGGAGTTCCTTGTCATGCACTGGATAGTTCCGCTCAGCTGGTTGCAGCTGACGCGACTGATAGCAGACGACGCGTTCAACGCCTCCAAGATCGTACTGCATTAATGCACAGCCGATTGCGAAATCGCTGGCATCACAGACCACACGAAATGGCCTGTCCTGATCGGCTATTGCTAGGAATGGGAATTGTATCAAGCTCTGCTTGATACCATCAAAGGAGCGCTGACATTCAGCGTTCCATAACCACCTCTCGTTCTTTTTCAACAAACGAGAGAGGTGTACAGTCATCTTGGCATAATTGCGTGAGTACTTGTGCAAATACGCCGCTAGCCCAAGGAATTTTCGAAGACCTTTGACAGCAACCGGCATAGGCCAGTCGGTGATCGCCTTGATCTTTTCGGGATCAGGACGTGCACCGTTCTTACCAACGATGCACCCAAGAAGTGGTATTTCGCTTGCTGCAAATATACACTTCTTGAGGTTTGCATACAATCGACGCTTTGGCATGATTGTAAGAACCTGTCGGACGTGGCATTTGTAAACATCAACGTCCGACTTTCCATCCACAGCCCGACTGTGGATGAAGACGTCATCGAAATAACTCGGCGCGAATTCTCTTACTGGCCTCAACAGATGTGATACACATCTGTTGAACGTGGCAGGGGCATTACTAAGTCCTTGTAGCATTACTAGCCATTCCCAGAGCATGCCGCTAGGCGTGCTAACTGCGGTATAGGGTATATCCCGTTCTCGCATAAGGATTTGATAGAAGCCATCCATCAAATCCATGGACGAAAAGATGGTACTCTTTGACATACCATCAATGATTACGTCCTTCCTCGGTATCGGCGTGTGAGCCGGTACCGTTGCAACATCTAACGTATTGAATGCATACACTATCCTCCACCCTCCTGTTGTTTTTCGCACACAGAAGGTCGAAGAGCTATGTGGGGAAGTAGATTCCCTCACATGGCCCGCAGCTAAACGATCGGCAAAGAACTTGTCGATCGCAAGTACTTGGTCACGAGGCAGTGGCCACTGCTTCATGACACAGTACTTCGAGCCTGGTTTAAGCTCGACCTCGTGTCGAATACCTTTATCCTTCGGTAACTCGCACGGAACAGTTTCAGGGAATACATCCTTGAATTCAACCAAATCTTCATAGAGAGGATTTGTCTTGAGCGATTCCCACGATTGGGAGTCATATCGCTCAATTCGTGTCTTTTCATCTAGGACACTCTCGTCCATAGATGAACTACTGAGAACTCTCTCGTTCTCAGTAAACACTGTTGCTGACCTTATGTTGGCTACACACTCGTCGTCAGCGACGAGTACGCAGATCTGCTTGACTTTGCCACTACGCAGATCACGCAAGAACCTTTTATGTTCGAGCGTTGGCAACTGAGTGATCTCCGAAGTCAACTTCGGAGGAGCAATCAGATCAAGTGTATAAGCGCCCACACTTGATCCATCATTGACTATGACATTCAATGTCTCTGTCATTTCCTGGGGACTAATTACCTCAGGCCTCGAAGGAATTATTCCTTCGGCTTCCCGGGGACTTATTCCCGCGGGTTTCGGGGAACTTATTTCCGTCGTATTTGTAATCTTGGGACTTATTCCCTTAACTTCCTTTAGCTGGGGTTGCGCAAGCACAGCGAGATCCTCTACGAAAGACTCTCCAGTCGATCTAGGATTATCGTTTCGCTTAACCTGAGCGATCGATTGTTTCTCTTCTAGATGTTCCCCGCCAGGGATACATATTTGTCCCGGTCCACTCGACTTATTCGAGTGGTGGACCTTCGGCACAGCCTGTGTGTCCTCACAGCCGCCGGAACTTTGCTCCGAAGGGTAGCCGTTTGGTACACTAAGGTTTTGTGCAGTCGTACTAACGACCGTACCACAAGTGAGGCCATCGCACTCACTCGTAGTACATCCACACGCTTGTGGACGCTCCAAAATGTTCATCAGATGGCCATCTGATGAACAAGCGGCAGGCATCGTTACTGTCCGATGTTGCCAGTTTACTCGTGGTTCGTACCTTCTGAGCCACGGTATTCCAAGGATGACATCAAATTTGTCATCCAAATCCAATACGATAAAGTCATCGTCATATTGGGTATCTTCTAGCGTATTGTGGATCTTCACTATACGCTTCATGACGGTTACGGATGCGCCTGTCGCAAGACGTACCGTCATCCTCGTAGGAGGTGTGTCACATTCACTGAATTTAGAATGACCATCTTCTAGCGACTGGCGTCGCACAAAATTGTTGGACGCCCCATAATCGACTAGAGCTCGAAGAGAAAACTTATTTGTCACTTCGAGTTTCAAGGTAATGAGTGAGATCTCATTACCCAGAGCAGCAACGCACAACTTTTGTGTGTTGGGAGCAACCTTCATCAAGAGGCCTACAAATTCTCTTGACGTTGCTGGATCAGTAGGGTGCTCCGCACCTACTGATCCTGTTTGACGGTCCATCCCGTTGTTGCGTCTTTGCACCAACAGCGGACCCGCGTCCCTGCCCCTTTCTCATGGGTGGACGGTCACTACGCCCAGTGTCGCGAGACACTGGACGAGGGGCACAACACTCGTAAGCGTAGTGTCCTGTCTTTTGACATCTGTTGCATCTCTGCAACTTCTTGTAGCCTGTAGAGCGAGCCTTCTCGCTCTCTACATAACAGAGTTCCATCGGCTCTGGACCTCCGTTGTCATATCGTCTCGGTTGACGATATGATGTCGAGCTGGCGCGAGCCTGTCTCAGACTGAAGTCTTCCTGCTCCGCAATGGAAATGGCTGGTTCTAGTGAATCTAGTTCAAGCCGGAACAGGTGAGTCTTGACGGGACCATCCGCAAGACCCTGCATGAACACCGAAACCAACGCGTGTTCATCCACCGGATTGGAACTTATACAACTCGTAAGATGTCGTTAATGTTGGGCGTAAGCGTGCGCATCATGCTTACCTTGTCTGAGCTCCAAGAGCTCTACTCGAGCCCTGAACTCAGCTCTAGGCGGTTCAAACGTTTGTCTGAGCCGCGGCTTGAAGACTTCTACCGACCCAAACGCATATGGGTCGTGCAACTTGAGTCCGAAAGCCCAAGTCTTGGCATGTCCTGCCAGATTTGATTGGGCAAATGCAACTTGCATATCCCCGTCGTCGATGCGACGCGCCATTATGGCGTCGTCTATTTCGACGAACCATCTCAAGAGGGAGTCTTCTTCGACTCCCCTGTACTTAGAGATGTCAATCTTCAAAGTCTCGGGTCGACGCGAGTGCATCGACCCACCAGCAGCAGCCTGCTGCTGTCTCAACAGTTCAAACTTTTGAGCACCCTGTTCTCTCAACAACTCTGCTTGTTGAGAACCTTGTTGGTGAAGCAAGGCTACTT